ACTTTCAAAATATTATGATTTATGCTTGCGATTACCATCAAGTTCAGCTTGATTCGTTGGAATCGGGCTGGATCAAGAATCATTAAGTGAATGACTGCTGTTGAAGCGTAAATAAACATGAAACTAAACCTGTAATTGGACATTAAGGGACCATAACGATGATATGAGACTGGGCTGTGAGGCTGCCGATCGTATATGAAGCAAGTCCATAGTCGAGCGTTACACATTGATTTTGCTTGTGCATAAGGCGGATGAGCCAAACGCAGTCGAGACAACTCGAAGCGTACGTCCATATATAACGAATTGGTTGTCCTCTCTTCATTTCCTTTCGTCTTTTTGTCACATCTGGAAGACATTCATCTGCAACTATGAGCTCACAATAAATATGCTTTAGGAACGGAAAGAACGCTTTCATAAAGCAATCTGATGGGTATATTTTAGCAGCATTCATTCTGATAAACTTGAATTTAGGCTGACGTTTACTGCTTGCTTAGGTTTGTGCCTAGGTTAAGCCTTAGGTTAAGCTCGTAACCGATTTCGTGTTTGCTGTTAATTCACTTTTCACTGAACTCGGATGAAATCATTGCTACTGTTGCTGCCTCATCCAGTATTTCACTATGGATCTATGTTCAAATTAGTGACATCTCTTTTGGGAAACTGTTCCAGTGGGCAACGATGTTTGCAATGAATTACGCTGTTTGGCTGTTTTGTTCTGTTCTCTTCTATTTTGAAGACCGTTCTGTTCGGTTTCTGCACCGTAAATCTCGACACTGTTCTGTTCTACCCTTTAAACCGTTCTGTTCAGTTCTATTCCTTTCCCTCAGTTAGCAAAATAGCAACATAAAAGTTGCGCTAATCGCGGTAAGGAACGGGATTTTTTTAGCAGGGGTAGTGCAAAACAGACGGGATTTGGGATGGGGGAAAATTCTCCAAGCAAGGAGTCGATCGCTTGTGGTGGTGTTGATTTAGAGAAAGCAACGGATTCCGGGCCCTGATAACCAGAACCGATCTTCAATCTTTGCATGTCAGCTCGTTGTGATGACTAGGAATTGGTCTTTTGGTTCTGCATTCAAATCATTTCATCTGTGTAGACGACTCGGT